ACAAGGGTTAACTGGTGAAGACCGCTCCAGTTAGGACACAAGGAAGCACGTTCAAGGCTCAAGGCAGAATTTTTGTGTTTCATTCACAAGAGAGGTCTCTGGGAATTGTCAGCTCTTTTATCCTGAACCCTGATTCACGTATGTCAGGGTTTCTCAGCTGCTGCACTGTGGACATTTGGGGCCAAGCCAGCCCTATGGGCCAATTCGACCCTCTTCTATTAGGTTGTTATGAGTCAGAATCAACTTGGTAGCACACGGGATCATTGCTTTTTTGGACAGGCTTCTCCTGTGCATTTGTGCATTGTGGGATGTCATGTTGCTTCTTCTACCCGTTAAATGCCAGCACCCCACCTTCCAGTTGTAACAACAGAAAATGTCTCCAGATATTGTCAGATGTCGCCTGGGGAGCCGAATCACCCTCGGTGGAGAACCACTGATAAAGAGAATCTAGAAGGTCAGAAGTACCAGTTTTTTAATCATATCATTATGATCAAAAATTGCCATGCATAAGGAAGTTGTAGGAAATGCTCTGAGGCTTGCCTTGAGAGCCAAGATTAGCATCTTGACCAGGATACTCACATTTAGTTGAATGTTTAGTGCCAGGCACTTGCTAAAAATGAGAAACATTACCTTGGAGTTTATTCTGACTCAGGGTGACCCCGAGTGCCTCCTTTTGGAGAACTGTGCCCCAGAAAGAGTTCAGTGGCTATTTTTTTGCATATGGATTGCCAGGCCTTTCTTCTGTGGTACCTCTGGGCGGCCTTGACCTTCCAAACTTTTGGTTCACAACAAAGCAAGTTAATCATTTGGCTTTATAGATGCCCGTTAAATATATTGAATAAACAAAGAAACACTTTAGCTGAGGGTGGTATTCAAAACAGTATTCTGTTTTCTCCTCAATACTGTATTTAAAAGTAAGCTTCCTCTGCATGGCCAGGAAGACTTAGGGATAAGAGAGACCTAGCTCTTGATAGAAGTGCGAGGGAGATTGGGAATCCTCAACTAGCCTCACCTATATTAATTTCTAATTTTGCTTTGCCAGTTATACAAAAGTAATCCAATGGAGTCATGTTAATATATATGTGTGTGTGCATATATAATTTATATCTGCTTGGACTTCAATCCCATAGGAACCCTGGTGGCCTAGTGAGAGGTGGGTTGCTAGCCGTAGTGGCATTGTGGAATTGGGCTGCAAGCCAGACAGTCAGCAGTTTGAAACCAGTAGCTGCTCCACAGGAGAAAGACAAGGCTTTCTCCTCCTGCAGAGAGTTAGTCTCAGACTACCACACGGACAGTTCAATCCCCTCTTACAGGGTCGCTATCAGTCAGAATCAATGAGATGGTTTGGGTTTGGTTAAGTCACACAATAAATTATAGACTACCTCCCGAGAAACATACCACAGACAATACCATGGCAGCTTTGGGCACAAAATCATTAGAAGTTGATTCTGCCTTTCCATTTCTCTCTATAACATATCATGATCAGGAAAAATAAGTTAGCTTTTAATTAACTTTTATTAAAAACTCAGCAATTATTTTTATTACATAGAAAATGAAACCACGGTAGCTATAGAGAGTAACATAGCTCAACTCTAAAACTGATTGTGAAATTTCAGGAGCTGCCACCGTGCAGGGCTTATAACAGTTGCCCTGTTTGACAATTAGATCCCAGTATTCAGATGCCAGGAAGGACATGAGGCCCATGGTCTGCTGTCGTCCAGTTTGGCATTTCAGACTGTTGTTTACTCTGGACCAGTGTGTCCCAAAGCGGGTGATACGGCCTGTGGTCTAGAGCAGGGCTAAGCAACCTTTTCCCTTCCAGGGGGCATTTGGCAATGGATAGCGTCATTTGCAGGCCATACAAAATTATCTTAAAAATTAGTCTGTTCAACGGGACACCCCCTTACTGAAGGGTTGTGAGGAGGAGATGAGCCAGTCAGGGTACAGGGTAGCAACGATGAAGCATATAACTTTCCTCTAGTTCTTGAATGCTTCCTCCCCCCACTATCATGATCCCAATTCTACCTCACAAATCTGTCTAGACCAGAGGATGTACACTGGTCCAGATAGCAACTGGAAACACAGGGAATGCAGGACAGATGACCCCTTCATGACCAATGGTGGGAGTGGCGATGCCTGGAGGGTGGAGGGAATGTGGGGTATTAAGGGGGAACCGATTACAAGAATCTATGTATAACCTCCTCCCTGAGGGATGGACAATAGAGAAGTGGGCTAGGGGAGACATCGGACAGTATAAGATATGACAAAATAATAATTTATGAATTATGAAGGGTTCATGAGGGAGGTGGGAGAGGGGAGGAAGGGGGAAATGAGGAGCTGATATTAAGGGCTCAAGTAGAAGGCAAATATTTTGAGAATAAAGAAGGCAACAAATGTACAAGTGTGCTTGACACAATGGATGTTTGTATGGATTGTGATAAGAATTGTATGAGCCCCCACTAAAATTATTTTTTAAAAATTAGCCTGTTATATTTGGTCAAACAGTAAATTAACTCACCCCTAATGGGTGACATGGGATGTTAGCTGGTATTAATGCTTCTGCATGATTTATAAAGCCTGCAGGGGGAATGTTCTCCACCCTTGGCCTAGAACAGAGGTTCCTAAACTTGGTTGGCTTACTACCCCCTTAAAAAAAATTACTCAGTGCTTCCCTGTCATTTAAAACCTTTTGGCTTATAGCCCACAATGTAAGGTAAAGTGTAGGCAGCCCCCCTACATCGTTCCAGCATCCTCCAAATCCCCCTGAGGGTGGGATCACTCACTTTGGGCAAGACTTGTCCAAACCCCAGGCTTAGTCTAGAGCATATACTCATTACCCAAATACTAGCCCTGAGGAATTTAGGTCACATTCTCCCGCCGTCCTTCAACCCCATGGAACGAAGTAGAATGAGCAGGTGTTTGGGTGCGGAACAGATGTGTTTAAATAGAAAGAATGTCAAGTCGGATGCCATCCTATATACTCCACACCAGTTCCCCAAACTCCTCATATCCTACAGTTGAGGGTCCCACCACACCTATCCCAGAATCCAGTGGCGGGCACCTGAAGTTTTATTCCACTCTAGATCAGATTTTTAAAGCGGTTATTTTGCATTTTACAGTATGCGTATTAAAGTATCATAGCTTCGTATGATTGAGTCAAACATTGTTATAAAATAGCTATTGCTTCTTGACACATCCTCCATCTAGGTCCACACGCTTCTGAAGGCGATGTTTCCATCTCTGTAACCCTTGCCCTAAGAATCCTGCGCTCTTCCGTTTAGACCACGTCTTAACGGCAGTGTGGGCATCCTCGTGGGATGCAAACTAGTCCTTTGCAATGCTCTTTGAATCTGAGGAACCAGAAGTCCGAAGGGGCGAGATTAGGGTTGGAGAGTAGATGGGGGAAGGTTTCCCAATGAGATCCTTGTAGTGTAGCCCCTGCTACCGTCAAATGATGAGCAGATACACTGTTGTTGTGGGGGTGGGCTAGGGCGGGGGAAGCCCCTCAGCACAGATTTGTGTTCTTTTTTTCCTCACTAACACAGCTTTCAATTTTCCTAAAACTTCATAATAAGTTCTCCTAGCTTTGTGTCCAAGAAAAATCGAAATTCCCCCTTTGGCTTTCCATACAACGTTGTTTCAGCATCACATAGAGAAGCTTCCTAAAGGAGGATGCTCGCTTTGAGACAAGGGAGGCAGGGGCTGGCATCTCCTGGAGACTCCATCGCTGTCTGTCCTCTAGCTGCCCCCTTGATTTGCAGCATATCTCGTTGCCCTTGTCTTATTTTCAGTGTGCGGGAAGTCTCCCTCATAAGACCCTGCCATCCTATACCCTTGTTGAATTCCTAGAGTGACTTGGGTTTGGATACTATAATATCTCCTTAAAGCCATCTTTAAATTAAGCCGAGCGGACCCTGCTGGCAGAGGTAGCTGCTCTTGCTTCTCACATGGCTTTAAGTTACTCAGGAGAATCAAGTGGGAGGATTCTGACCCAACACGGATCTGTTTGTCAACTGAGAAGAATATTGAATGTGGTAATGAAACAAAAGGAACACGACGTGACAGCCCCCCTCAGGCACGGACAGAGCGAGAGACTAAACAAATCAGGAGGGAGCGGTTCAGGGAGATCCAGAAGTCCACGGAGTTCTGGAGGTCCACTGCATACCATGGGTCCATTTTGTCCCGGTGGTCTAGTTGTGGACTTCCTTCCTATTCCTTCTGACCTGGGGCAGCACTAGAGACATACATACTCAACATGCTCTGAACAGTCGCTTGTCTTGGAGCAAGAAGACACACGGTGTTACTGTCCAAATGCGATGCAGCATGTGCAAATGCCAGGCTGCCTGTGGAAGAATCACCGGGGTGACGTGAAAAACATTGTAGAATCTCAGGGTGACAGCTCACCCTGTACGATTTCAATTCCAGCATTACCTGGCCACATGCATTTTTGACAGCTCCACCCACCCAAGGTGGTTCTGCTGCCCCACCAGACCTAGGGACTGCTGCAAAGACTGGGAGAAACCTCATTCTTTGTTGAGAAAAAGTGATCAGGAAAAGCTAACTAGCCCCATATGAGAACGTAAGTCCTTTGGGCAAAGAATCCGAGATAAAGGACCTCTTTCCAGGTCCCCAAAGCCACTGCCATCAAGTCAATTCTGACTCATAGTGACCCTACAGGACAGGATCAAACTGCTCGCTAGGGTTTCTGAGACTGCCTCATCTTTCGCCTGATGGGTTTGTACTGCCAGTGTTATGGTTAGTAGTCCAACACTTAACCCACTACACTACAGGGCGCCTTTCCTAGCCACTAGGGTTATGCGTATGGCATTATTACAATGTAGGCATCACACAAGACAGGACCTTGGTTGCTGGTGGTCTATTTTCTGCAAGTTCCTAAGAGGACAATGTGTTCAATCAAATTTAGTTCATTATCTGATACCAAACATTGTCTTAGTAATTTTTTTACTATGTGAGTGATAGACAATAGCAACCCCACCCCACAAAGAAAATCCAGGAAGATGATTATGTTCTCAGATAGACTACATGAGAATGAGTGGTCATTGGTAGTAATTAGAAAGCTTGAAAGAGGATGTTCCAAACAGAATCTTAATTTGGCATTTTGGTGGTAAGGGACGGCAGCTGCACAGGTCAAAGACTTCGAGAGAGCGCTGAGGGGAAAGGACTTCGCAGTGGGCTCAGCCGGGTTGGCAGAGATTTTCTTACTGCTTTGCGATGGCCACGCTTACAGGTATGTGTCCCACCCTCTTCCTGCTCCCTGCCTCGTGTCCACTGGGAGCTTCTGGGGCTCAGAGTTCGCACACTGGCTCCTTGGGAGGGGTTGGGGGTATTCTCCTGGTTCTTGCTTTCTCCCTGTCCCAAGACACAGACAGAGGTGATGGGTTTAGTCCACTGCTGCTACGTGGTGCCTAGCAGGCCCAGGTCAGGAAGTCTTTGAGGCAGACCCTGGTAGGAAGGATCTCAGGGCAACACCATCGTTTCTCTGGTTCCTGAGTTATTGTCTACATTCGAGTCCAGACACAAAGGTTTCTCTGCTTGAACCTATGTGGGCACTGCGCCTACAAAAAACGCCAGTCAGGGCTCAGAAGCAGCCCACCTGTGTGTCTGAGGGTGGTCTTGGGTGGGACACTTCCCGCCTTAACCCTATTGGTCATCTTGCTCGGAGACCCCCGAGGCAGACAGAAGAGCCAGTGACAGGTTTCTCTGCTGTTGCTCAGACGTGACATGGTGGTAGCCCATCAAAGTCATGGTCTCAGAACAGATTTCCTGAAGCCGAGTGACCTTTTCAAAAGGCAGCGTCCAGCGCCAGGCCTGGGAGACATTGAGGGCGTTCCTAGCGTCGGTGTGGAAGGCATGTTTGCCCGTGCCCTTGCCTTGGGTGATGTTTTGCACCCAGGTTTGGAGCCAGGGAAAGAATTTCAGCCCCACAAAATCATACATTCGGGCAGTCTGGGCCTTCGGGGCCCGGACCAGGTCCTCGTAGCGCACAAATAGGTAGCGCTGCCGCAGGGCTTTGGGCAAGAGCCGGACGGCCCCTAGGATGTCCCGCTGGCTTTCGCAGATGGTCTGGATCACGTGGTAGGGCCAGTCCTCCTTCTTGAGTTGTCTCCACTTCTCCCCCAAGACGATGCGGCTGTCGGCCATGAGCTCCGCCAGGGTGTGCTGGCGGGAGCTGAACACGGCCCGGGGATCCCGCACCAGGTGCACGATGCGCAGGTTGAGCGCGGGGTCGCTGAGCAGCGGATAGAGCACCTGCAGGTTGAAGAAGCGCACCTCCTTGAGCACCACGTGGCTGTAGGAGCGGCAGGCCTCCCCCACCACCTCGAAGGGCTGCCCCTTGCACAGCGTCTTGCAGTGAGCCTCGGAGATGACCTGCCCCGGGGGGAACATGTGGCAGGCCGGCGGGGAGCACAGGGCTCGGCTGGCCTCCCACTTAAACAGGCTGGACTGGGTCCGGGGACCCGGTGGCATGTAGGCATCGAAGACGCTCATGTCACACTGGAAGACGGAGCGGACCAGGTCGCGCACGGCCATGTGCAGCTGCGAGGCCGTGCTCTGCGCGAAGCTCATCCAGACGTGCCAGGCGGGCTCCATGAGGTAGAAGACGTCTGGGTGCTGCCCGAACACCTGCCCCACAAACGACGAGCCGGAGCGCCACGAAGACAGGACGAGCACGTGCACGGGCCTGGGCGCCTCCTTCGGAGGCAGAGCGCGGAAGTTGTAGCTGGACAGGTGGAAGAACAGAGCGATGATCGCCGTCTGGGAAACCAGCAGAAGCACCAGCCTCGTTTTATTGGACATCTTGCCGCCGACGTTGAAGACCTTTAAGAGACAAGGAGTTGGGTGGGTGAGTCTGCTGGTTTGGTGTTTGTTTCTTCCTTCTTTTTCCAGCAAACGCCACCTTCTTCCTGGTCCCCATCAAGGACTGGCTTAGAACGGCCTAAACCTTCCTGCAACCAGTTGTACCAATCCCTCCCAATCAATTCCTGTCCTTTGAAGTTACTGTGCCATTACATTCTTTTGATTTTAGGCTCTGGGGCTCCTCCTTCCTGGTCTTTTTGTCCCTTGAGCTACCAAGAATGCCTTTTGCCAATTCCCATCAAGTCCATTGCAACTTGTGGTGACCCATGGGAGTCAGAGTAGAGCTGGGCTCCATAGGGTTTTTAATGCTGATACTTTTGGAAACAGACTGCCAGGACTTTGTTTGGAGGTGCCTTTGAGTGTACTTGAACCTCCTAGTCCAATAGTTAGCAGTCAAGCATATTAATTGCTTGCACCACCCAGCAATCCCACTGAAATGCCTAAACCCGCCATATCGAATCAGCTTGTGGAGGACCAGATCTCTCCTTAAAGATACAAAGCTATAAAGTGTCTATCTCCAATAGGTTACTTGTCGATGATAATATAACCCAAATCTTGCCTGGCTAATTTCTCATAAAACTAAGAGGGTCAAGAAGAGCTGCCTTGGGCCCATGGCCCCACCCTCCCTATCGTGAAGGACAAATACTATCTTGAAGGTCATCTACCACCTCCCTTGTTTCCATAGAGCACAAGACTTTCCACATCCACCCACAAAGGCTATAAAATGGCTGTCCTTTTGCATTATCTCCTTAGCAACAGAGCCAAGTGTCCCTAGAACTTGTCATCCTGGGAGACCAGGAATTTGAAGAGGCGGCCCAATGCTGGGCTTGCTTCTGTGTAGGTAATCATCTGGTTTCTGGTTACAGACAATTCGTACTTGCCCTTCAGTGTTATGTCAATTTGCTCTCACTTTGAAATACAACAGATTTCACTCATTACAATAACCCCCTTTACTTGCTGCACCTGCAGCTTTCAAATGACAGGAGAAATCAGTTGGTCATTCAACAAGGACGTGGATCATATTGTACTAACTAACCCCACCCCACTGCCATTGAGTGGGTTCAGAGCCACAGCCACCCCATAAGACAGAGTAGAATTGCTCTTTAGGATTTCTGAGACTGTCAGTCTTGCTGAGAGCAGAGAGCCTCATCTTGCTCCCATGGAGCAACTCATGGGTTTCAACTACCGACCATGTGGTTAGCAGTTATTTTAGCCATTGCATCCCAAGGGCTTCTTTATTGCACTGAAACAACCACCACTATTTTTTACTGTCGTCGAGTCAATGCCAACACATAGCAACCCTATGGAGCAGAGCAAAACTGGAAAACAGAAAGATTTCTCCCAAGTTGTCTCCCCCAAATATATCCCAAACGTAGCTGCTTGCTACAGGTGGCAAATGTCTATACACTTGGAGGTCAACAGAAGTAGGTCAGGGGTTATTCTCCCTAAGGGTTATCATCCATCCAGAGAAAGCAGACACCACTGTTTATCCCACAACAAGTAGGGCCCACTCCCTTCTGATGAGGATAGTAGTAACTTGTTTCCCTGAAGGAAAGCCCAGGGAGGTCAAGCCCACTCAAGGGCGACCAAGATTAGGCAGCCATATTGAGTCTAGGGTCCGCCCTTCTTGTCACATGTATACCCTTAGTCCACCCCCCACCCCCACTTTCTATCATGTGTACACTCCTAGCTCATCCCCTTCCTGTTATGCTTATGCCCATTGTCTATCCCCCTCCTGGTGCTTGTATTGCCAATTGTACAGCCCCTTCCTGTAATGAGTGTGGTTACCCGTAATCACACCCCCTAAAGAGCTAGATAAGCCTTGGTTAGCAATCAATGTTCCTCTCTCTGGCTCTCTCCACGTGGACCATCAAGTGGGGCTGAGGTGAGCATGCTACCATGAGATGTGTCTGACTCCATTATTGCAATCTCTCTTCTATCCCTCATGTTCTCCATGACTTTATTATAATGTTAACCATACAATGTGCGCTTACTGAGCCTGTGATTAGTTGTGGGGGCTGGCCATCCCCCCGGGCCCCCCCCCCC